AATCGGGCTGTTCGTCACGAGAAGGTATTTATATATCGCAAGCCTGATTTCGAGAGGCATATTCGATAGACACGGTTTTTCCCTGCGTCGCGGACGCTGCAAAATAGATTCGTTGTCTAGTGCTCCGGGATTTCCAGCTCCCGTCTCCTCGTGGACAGACTCCGTGCTCATGGGATCGTCGACTTCGTGCTCAGAATCAGTGCTCATCTCTTCGTGGAAGCAGGCGCCGTCATCTAAAGGGTCCGGAATCTTAGGACTGGGGGCTCTGCGTGTGGGTTGCTTCACTCGTCGACGAGGCGACATTTTCTAAATGTCATTTCGCGCATGCTTTCGCAACAGGTGCTCCCAATCTATAGGTTTGCGTTTACCAGGATCGCCTGGCTCAGCATTTCTAGTACGCTTTGCCTTCTTTTTTCCTTTGCGTCTTGATCGGCGTCTTTTCGTGTCTTTTTCCATGTTTGCCGATGTGTCACAGGGTCTGACGGTATCGTTCGGTGTTGACATGGTCGCGGGCTGCTCTGATGACAGGTGCTGTATGAGCCTTGCTTCGGGGGTTGCCTCGCAAGGGTTGGGTTGAAGGGCTATTGAAGCCATCGTGACTAGTAGGCGTGGTTAGATGCAGGGCAGCTTGAAAGAGAGTGTGGGAAGGGAGAAAGGAAGAGGAAGAGTTCAATTCAGGGTCTGAGTATTTATGACATCAGCGTGCAGCTGTGTGGTGCCAGCTGTATAGTGCCAGCTGTGTGGTGCCAGCTGTGTGGTTATACGCTAACAGCTGTCAAGGTGCCCCGTGCATTTCTTTTAATGAATATTAGAGAGAGAGAAAAAGAGCCTTATGAAAATTAGTGGCCGCGTAGAGTGAAACGGCATTGGCAAGCAATAAATGCTCGGCGGGCTTACTCCTTTTGCTAGGTGCGCTTATCGCCCTATTATTTACTGACTGGTACGTGAACTCCCCGTATAACGTAAACTAATATATTATAATATATTAATTTTTTAATTTTTGGTTGTTTCGCTCTGTAGTCATATGAAATTTCACGCATGATACAAGTATCGTGCAAGCGTAAAATCTAAAACAGTATTATATATTATAATATATTATAATATCATCATTAATACCTAGTAACGAGATACCAGGTGGGATGTGTGCGCACCTAGCAAAAAGAGTAAGCCCGCCGAGCAATTCACGTGTGCAGCTCCCCGCTTTGCATCTTTAATATAATATAGGCGTCACCTATGCAGTATATTCGGCAAATGGTTAATGGAAGACATGGCTTACGCCACTCACCTGTGCAGCATCGCGAATTTCATGTACACAGCATCGCAAACGTCCTGTGTGCAGTATCACGACTCCGTGCTGGACCTCGTAAATGATGAATTGTTAAAGCCGGCCAGAGCTCATCGCAGGCGGCCCCCGGAGGGTGTAATTTAATGGTCTGGTCGACTGATGGTCTACCTCGGTGGTCATCCAGATGTATTGACTCGACCGTCGACGCTTTGCCTACCCCTAGGACAACTCGTTGGCATCAGGGTCTTGTACCCCATAACATTTGAACATTAATCCTGTTGAAGCGATGCAAGAATATGAGAGATATTAAACCTAGTAGAAAGTATTATTACTTTTATAAAAAATACATGGTTTTTAATACCTTTTACTCCACTTTATATACTATTTATTTCCTTGCCTTGCTGGACCTGTAGCCCCTGTCAGCTCTATCTCATTTGAAGTCACTGCTCGCTAAACGCACAGGGGTTGGATTGTATGCCGAAGAGTGAGCACCAGCAAGTTAGGACTGCGAGGTTCAATCTTTAACTCGTCACTGATTCTGCACCTTCTGGCTAGAAATAATTTATATGCTTACTATTCGACGAAATATGGTACCATCGATGTCGCGCCCTGGAGATCGCGCGTGGCTGGTAGTGGAAGCCTGTGCAAGGCCCGCTTGCCTTGGTGTTGGCACATCCTGTCAAGGCTCAACACCTACTGCCAAACGCCCGTCATGGACGCGCCTCACCAGCTCATCATATTAAAAGTCGGTGACAAGGGGCTTGCAGACCAAATCCTCGCATGCCAATTTAATTAAGCAAGGCCAAGCTGATACGTTGTTTCTTTGCACTGTCCACATGACCGCACCGTGTGAAGACACCAAGACGCTCAGACCGTGGCAACGTGGCTTCAGATATACATAGATTCGGAATAAAATCGCAATTCTACGGGCCTCGTGCTTTGGCAGTGTGCCACGGACTTCTTCGGCATTTCATACATCTGGCATTGGGTTAAGGTTGCTGAAATCAGATGCCGCGCCGCCTAGGCCGATGTCAATTTGGAGAACGGCAATCCGGGGAACGTACTACTGCGGGGAGTCGAGGGGCTGCGACGGGCAGTCTGGCATCAAGTCTGGTACGTACTGTATTGTCACAATTCACATCCGATACTCGGACCGCATTACAAGCATCGCATATTGGAAATGACTGTTTCGTCAATAGACCTGACTCTGTTGCATCCGGCACGGTCGTTACAAGTCCGTCCAATAGTGGCAGTGGAATGGACGGTAAGACCAGCTTATCTTGCGGTCAGCTCGGTGAGGACTTGTTATCTCTCTATTGCCCAGGTTTCCTGTGGATATCTGATAAGACTTAAGCTTTGGAATGATTCATATCCGATGCTTCTCACGACTATTAAGAGTAAGAAGTTGTGTCAATATGCCGCGAGCAGCAAGCTTCTTGTTTCACTGGGAAGCAAGAGCAAAGATTGCATATGCAAGCGCCGTGTTGTTGTAGTTTGCATGTGGCAGCTTGGGGATTTGGCTGTTCTGACTCAAACCGGAGGGGGGGTGGTTGGAGCGTGGAATCAATAGATGGGTTTGTTGTACCACCAAACACCGAACCATCTCCGTCCATGAGAGAGTGGCGGCGTATATTTTGTCGAGGCGCGCCTCTGTCCACGGCGATGACGAGTGGCCAAATCTGTATGACGATCTGATGGGAAGCCACGTAAATTAATCCAAAAGCCCTCAACATTCTGTAAACTGCCCTTGGTAGTTAGGTATTCATCTGACGTCGCATTAGCAAACAGGGAACAACGGCAAAAAAAAAATACTTTCCCTGGGCTCCACGATGCCCCTGCGGTCCCCGGATACCGGTGGGTCGTTGGTGTTTAGATCGGGATCTTTTTACCCTATAACTTGGGTTTGATTACCCCATAGAATCTATTTTTTACCCTATAACAACGTAATCTGCCACAACAAGCTTCCAAACGGGGCCATGACGAGGGCACAGATGTCAGGGGTGTGCAGGCAGGGCATGCAGATGCGCCGCCCACCCTCAGGCACGTTGCTGATAGCCCGGTGGACGGCAACCGTAGCTGCGAAGCGCTTCATTCCGATTGTTCGGCTGGGACCGCGCGGTGCTGTGACGCCCTTGGATTCGCTCTTCTATGGCTCTGGGTCCAGTCTCGGTGCTGACCATGATAGCGCGGTGCGCCCTAGCTCGCGAGGCACGAGGAACCATCAAGACAGATCAATTGATGCTGTTCCGCCCTGTCATGCGGCTCCTTCGCCCCTTAATCCATCGTGTACCAGGCCTGGTGTTGGGTGCGTGGTGCCGATGAGATGAGAGATGCGAGATCAAGGTGCCCAATCTGTCGCGAGAATCTCGCAATCTTGCTCATCTGACCCGGCCAAGACGCTCCTGCCCGTTCTCGTCAGTTTTTGGTCAGCAAGTCCATCTCCCCGCTCTTGCCTGTTTCGTCGCAATGTCATACTCGTGCTGCGCCGTGTTTTTTTTTTTCTGAGAGACTTTCTCTCACATGTTTTGCTCTCTTCTCTCCCATTTCATGGGCCTCGTAAACCCACTGTCCGTGATTTTATCGTCACAGCCACCAGACTTCTTATCGCAGCCAGACACTGCTGTCGCAGGTCCTCCCACCACTACCTTGGTAGTTCCATTGTACTCCGTGCTCTACTCCGTACACATCCCGAGATAGCATGTACATCCTGGCCGTGTCTCTGATAACGGCGAGACACACACCACGGCGTGCGCCTCCCCCGCCTCGTCCCCAGACACGAACCAATTCATCAACTTCTCGAAATGCGCCGGAGCAAGCATTATCGTCAACCCGGATTTTATCTCTTGCCTACCAGTGGAAACTACTCTTTCAGCATTAGAGATCGTCCCACGCCAATGTCCACAGTGTATTAGATGGGGGCGAAGGTCTGCCATCATACTTTCCCAACGGAGTTTAGAGGTCCCCATCACGCCGGGGCGTGCGACGAAAGAAAACGCTTGGGCAAGCAGAATGACCTTTCTTCTTAGGAACGGTCCAGAAACCAAGGGCTAAAACGGCGAGCACCTGGCCAACAAGGCTGTGTAGTACTAATCTTGCGCGAGACAGACAGGACGGTGCTACCGCCAATCCGGGAGAAGAGGCGACTAGAAGGAAAATTCTTCCCCTGCGTCGCCACGACTACACATCACCTGGCTAGCCGCGTTCACGTATAACGGATAACCATGCTTGTCTTCGTTACGTACGGCTTCAGTTCAAAGCGATAAATGAAACGAGCAAGAACACAACGCTCTCGTGTACAGGGTGTCTGTCGACAGGTATTTCATATTAATCATACACCCCGAGAGTACTCCGTACAAGGCATGCTGAGAGGTGTATAGATTAGTCCAACAATGGCGTTGCCTCCCATGATCCATATCTTCTCCACCATGGCACCGTGTACCTTTGAGGACACCACAGACACACTCCCTAGTCGGCTTCCGGCGGATACCTGCTTGCAAGTATACGGGCGGTAGCCCGCCCCCCGTCAAAACATATATCAAGTCCGTCTCCCACGCCTCGTTTGTTTCTATGAGCCTGATACGAAAGTTGCTTCCTCTGGGTTTGTGGTTGTCATTCCAGCTTTGGCTTGTCTTCAACATTTCGGGATCCTATCAACTGGCCCGTCCGTTTTACACTGAGTATCCTTCCTAGCACTCACCGAGTCTCATCCTACAACATGGGTTCTCTCGGTTCTGAGCCAAAACTCCCTTGGAACAAGACGCCTTGTGTCTTGAGCCCTCAGCTTAGTCGTGTTGCGGGATGGTAGGTCTACGACGATGACGAGTCTCTTTGGGACCAAAGTAGCATGAGAGGCCTCGCTAACACTAGCAACTCTAGCAACATTTACCTCAAGCTGGACAACCTTCAGCCCAGCGGCTCCTTCAAGTCTCGCGGAATCGGTAACCTCATGACCCGTGCTGTTGCCAACAGTGCCGGCGATGTTCACTTCTACTGCTCCTCTGGGGGCAACGCTGGTCTTGCCTGTGCTACCTCGGCCGTTGCTCTGCAACGGCCTGCCACCATTGTCATCCCATTGACAACGTCGAAGATGATGAAGAATAAGCTTCTCGACCTTGGTGTTGAAGTCCACCAAACTGGCAAGAATTTGGCTGCCGCCGATGAGTACCTCCGGACGGAACTCCTCGCCAAGGACCCCAACGGTGTCTACGTCCCACCTTTTGACCATCCGCATGTGTGGGATGGCGCCTCTACCATCATTCCCGAACTACGAGAGGAAATGGACGAGCCTATTGATGCTATTGTCTGCAGTGTGGGTGGTGGCGGTTTGTTCAACGGTCTCATGCAAGGCATCGAGAGTTTCCCCTGGTGCGGATCCAAGCCCGAAGTTGTCGGTGTTGAAACTCTCGGTGCCGACAGTATGAATGCCTCGATCAAGGCCAATGCCCACATCACTCTCCCAGAGATTACATCCATTGCCACGTCGCTGGGCTGCTCACGTATTTCTGCTGAGACGTGGAAATGGTGTCAATATCCCAACATTCACAGTCTGGTCGTCTCAGACGCGGACGCTGCCATCAGCTGCGTCCGGTTTGCCGACGACGCCCGTCACCTTGTTGAAGTATCTTGTGGAGCTGCGCTCGCCACCGTATACAAGGGAGATCTGCGGGAGACCCTAGGACGTGGTCTTACTGATGCTGAATGGGCTCAGAAGAACATTGTCATCATCGTGTGCGGCGGCTCCGGCGTCACATTGGGCATTCTCGACCAGTACGTACAAGAGTACGGAAACAAGACGACCATCAAGGTCTAGGTGAATGAAAATGGCGTTATTTGTTTCTTTTGTTCTAGATACGCAAGCGTTTGGTTATTTTTGACATGGGAGACGGGTATCAGTTACCTATTGATAAAGAGCTTAATGAGAAAGAATTTCACGAGGCGATTGAAACCCTCGGATGTGTACCCTGGAGACTTTACACAGACAGCTGCCGAGGCGACATCAAGGCTCTCCCCACGTGCCAGGCGATAACGGACAGACATCCCATCCCCCGGTCATGCGACAAGTTGGCGACAATCTTTCGGATCATGGAAAACATCGCTCACAATATCATCGCAAAAGTGCAGTGATGGTGTCATGCACCTCGCTTCAGACGGAAAACAGCGGCTTCAAGCTGGACTTTGGCCGCTGAAATGGTAAAAGTATGAGGTTGCAGAGAGTTCGGGACGGGGACTGCACGTTCGGGAGAGCACGGAACGAAACGGGATATAATACATGGTGTGTCTTACAAGGGTTGAATACAAATTTGATCTTGCAGCGATGACACTTGATATTGATACACACGAATGCTTGTGTTTTTTTTGCCTTGGGGACAAAGGTAGCATCATGGGCGTTTTGACTATTTGGATTGGCAAACTGGGACGTGAACGACGGCATGATATACCAACAGGTGCCATATTTGGCAGCCATGACAGGAACGGACTACTAGACGGCACGAATATAGACATCAAAAAAGCGTCTGACAGCATAGAAATAGACATGTTTAACTGGGAGCACTCGACCCCGAAGAAAGTAGATGCCTCACCCCACGGGGAATCTCATACCCACAATGCACCACATATCCGGCATCGGCGACTAAGCCCACCGCCCACGGCAAGCCTCGTGGCTCTGGCGCGTGACGTATGTTTCCGCGAGTATGCCTCCCACGGCGGGCGGCAAACATTACATGTGTGTAGACTGAAATACCAGCTCAAACGAGGGGCCCCGCTGCGCCGACGCGGTCCGGATGCTCGCCCCACGGTGGATTCCGGCATCAATCCATCTCAAGGCGTCAACTTTCAAGGGCCCAGCCGCGCTGATCGATACCGACAAGATCTTGGCGCCAGGTGCCGCGCTCTGCTGCTCAAGTTCCTCCGTCTCTTCAATCACCCGTATTATACTTAAGTAGTGCCCGTAGCAGAGGTACAGTGGGTGTAGTGGGTGTACAGAGTGTGTACAGAGTGTGTACAGCGCGTGAAGATGGCCCTCATCGACGACGGCCCCCGGCCTTACTCCTAGCCATCTTAGCCTCCTTGATTCCCTTCCTCTCGTCGACGAACTCGCCCATGATTTGCTGCAGGTCGGGGTTCTTGCGCGCCAGGAGGAGCACGTCTTCGGTCGTGACGTTGGGCCGGGAGGCGTGGTTGGCGAAGCTCTCCAGGTCTATGGCTACGTTTTCTGCTCGCCGCGTCAGGTGTTCTGCTTGTGACGAGTGTGGAGGTGAGTGGGTTGTTTTTTTACCGATTTGCGTCCAGACCATCTCTGTTAGGGCGCCGATGAATTGGGGCGTTGCGTTGCGGTTTCGCCGGAGGCACTCCTCGTCGACGATTTGGCCGACTGCGAACCAGAGGGCGGATTTGAGGCGCTGGGGTTGTTAGCTTGTCGGGGTGCCGGGTGCCGGGTGGGGGGTGCGTACCTCGCGGTCGTCGTTGTCGGGTGAGGCCATGGTTTGCTGGCTGGTGAGTGTGAGGATGGGTTTTGCGTGGGTGAGGCGAGGCGCGTTAAGTGAGCGCGATGGAGGAGGTGTGAAGTGGGGCGGCGGTTTGGGTGGTTGTCTTTTTGGGAGTTTGTCGTGTGGTGGTGTGAATATCACTGGGCGAAGCGGTTTTTCACATATTTTAGTGTGTAGATGGTGCGTGCTTCGCTCCTTATGATTTTTTTTTGGGCATGTGGTATTGCACGGCGGTCGGGGGTAGGTAGCCTTACCAAGACTTTTATGGAAGGGTCATTTCTGTCAGGGTGAGACTCGGCTATCATGGAGTGAGAGCGAAAAGTGATTCACCAGATACGGTGCCTAGCTATCGTGCCCTGTACTGTAATTTATTGCAGCGTATTAGTGCATACTTCTTGTTCGGCAAATACATTCTGTCAGAGGCTGTAGTACCGCCTCCATCAGTGCAGTTGAGGGAGAGGAAACCAGTTCGCATGGCGAATGACACAGAACACTTCATCTCAGCCCATGATTACATGAATGTGGTTGTGGGAAGAGTGCTGGCTTAGGTGTCGTCTTCACCTTTCATGTTCCGAAAATCACCATCGCCTAGAGGGCGGAGCATCGGCAATGAAGCCACACGGTACATTCATTATTGTACTGCGCTCAACGTCGAGTCTCTCATAAGCCCGTTTATAGTTCACGTAGACTTGGCCACTTTAGTTCCAATCCAGGACCTTGGCAGCACTGCTTCTCATTTGCACAGCACCCTCCCTCATTCTTGCAACCAACGTCAACTGACCTACCCTACATCAAATCGCCTTGTAGCCCAACCGTTCAAACTGTCTCGAATAGCCTTATCAAGCACTCTGGAAAGTCTATCAACAGATCCGGACACTAGCTGCCATTGAGGAGCGAGAAAAAAGAAGCAAAAGTCTCTCCAGGGACTAGAAAAGGATCGCTTCATGATTCTAGAGGCATACTTTTGTCTGGCACACATCAATGAGTTAGGTTCTCACTCAAGTGCCAGTTCACTTGACTAAGCCCTATTTTCTTTCCCAAGAGATGCCTCGAGGTGTTTAGACTCGTATGTTTAGAGTCAGCTTGTCGTGACCCTTTTGGTCCGTTGTGGTGCCGGGGACAAATTTGCGCAATTCGTAGGCATGACTTGCAAGGCGCTCCTTCAAACGCCTGTCTTGGATATATTGCCCTCGGTTTTGTACCGTATCCCTCGGAACTCCCGAATTTGAACTTCTGAAGCTTCGCTGTGTTTGGACATGGACCGAGAATGATGATTTTTGGTGCCACGGCGGACACTTCTTTGGGATGCGACGGGCGCAGGGTTTGGGCAGAGGCTTGACGGGTTTGAGCTGCATTGTTTATGTAGTTACCTGATTCAGGTGTATATGGGTCTGGAGATGTTACAGAGGCGCTTCACACTTGGCATCTTGAGTCGTGAGGCTTGTTGCAAGGCCGGTACACGACTTGTGCTGGATACTGTTCCGAATTTCCGTGCGACGCTTCTATTTTCTTTGTTCGTCTTCGATCCATTCCAGCGTTGGTCGAAATAGTTTGCTCTCAAGTGCTACTCTACCCCATGCCCCTTTCAGCTGCTCTCGCCCGTCCACCACCATAAGGTACCCAATGCAACTGTGCGGAATACTCTACGCAAGTACATATGTTACATGGTAGAAACATTCTCCCAAAGGAGAGTGACCAGAGGCATGAATTCTCCTTGCTACCCGCATCCACCAACAACACCCATTGGCCCTCCATTTTTCGCTCCCAAGAATCCATCGGGGAATCAAAAGGAAAAAAAATGCTGCAGTCCACCACCCCACCGGACATGCTGAAAATGCTCCGTCAAGGTCCGAGTTGTAATATAATAATGACATCGAAAACGCCGGCGCTAAAATGCAAAAAGAGATTTAATGGAAAGTAATTAATTCATTCGAAATTAAGCCGTCTTGCGACAAGACTCTGCTCCGGCATTGTCGATTACGCGCGCAATCCTAGTCCGGCCATGCCTCTTTGTGGCAGAGTCCAAGGCTTGGCGCAAATCATCTGTTCGTTCCATGTTAGCATGCTGATTTGCCTCGGCAAAGTTTCAAGGCCTAAGCATACCTCGCCCTCGCTGTATGCCACAAAATATACAACCATTCCAATCACGTAGTAGATTGCCGGGTTGGTAGACTGATACATCAAGATGGACGTGAGTGCCGTCAGGGGGAGGACTGCAAGTCGAAACTCCAGTGATCGGTGAAGGCTTGACCCGGCGACAAAGCTCAATGGCCACTCCAGGGCAAGCATTCCCAGTCCAAAGATGAGGTTGATTGTTTGCAGAATCGGGATGGGTTTGACAGCTGGGTCCAGGTTCTTGGTGAGGAAGTCCCAAAATATCTTGGGCCAAATGAACCCTTCAATGGCAGCGCCAACCTGATCTGCACAAATGTCAGTGATTATTGCTTTCCGTCGAGGACTGGCTGTCAGAACATACAAGCTGCGGCGGTCAGGATAATGAGGCGACCCAAGTGGTTCTTGATAAGTCTGCCCATGGTGTCGAATAATTAGCCTAGTCCAGATATCCTCTTCTTTTCCTGTCTCTTTCTGTTTTGTAACCCGAAATCCGTCCTCTCAAAGTTGCGGGATGCTCTTGAATCGTTTGTTGTTGATGGTCTATATGATAACACGCCTGGGTGATATGCACTGAATTTGCCGTCGGGGCCCCAACTTTTCTCTTGCGGGTCAATGGTACAGATTGGCGCGAGCCGGTTGAGAGGAAGCCAGAAGACGCAGAGGAAGTGCTGGTAACCAGACCGACACAGCTTTGAGACGAATGAATGGTTGTAGTTGAAAAGAAAGACTCGATATTAGGTGGTTCTCGACAGGCCCAGACTGGTCGAAGAAACCGGAGATAAGAATGAAAGACAACGGATGAAATCGCAAGAGATGAAGAACAGACCCAAACGTTTCCTGGAGGGGGAGGAAATGTAAGGATCTAATAAGTTTGACAGCCCAGTCGGCAGCAGGGTTAGCAGGGCGCCGGAGGGCCGTAGCCGATGCCGAGAAGGGCGAGGCTAGCCCAAGCCCGTGTATCAGATACTGATGGCTGGCGAGACAGACACAATACCGGATGAGGCCGACTTGATGGTGAATTGCGAGTATGTGACTGAGTCCGTTGTTTCTTGACAGCAGGCATCCGTGCGGCACTAACCTCTTGCGACCAGGCTAGGGTGCACAACAAGGGACATGTGTAGGTTGCGATAGAGCCGTGTGAAGATGTTGAGGTTGAGCAGGAGTCGGATATTCTGAGTCGGTGATGATTCGAGGGTGGATTGAGAATGGCGCTGCTTGATCTGCAGTGTTGGTGACGGCTTCGCGTGTAGCAGAAGCAACTGTTGACTCTATCCTGGGCCGGGAAAAGTACAAGGCGGTTTCGTCCGTAGTCGAGGTGGTTGAAGGGTTAGACCTGGTTCTTGTTCGCATGAACGAGGAGGCGTTTGAGACGGATTATCAGACGAGACGATGTCGGAGACGTGAATCAAGGAGAGTAGTTGGAGGGGAGGAAGATCAAGGAGGTTGACGCTGGGGCAGTAGCAGATGGGAAGCTAGATTTAAAAGATGGATAGTACAGCATGGTCCGGCATGACATCTGCAGTTTCGCATGGCCACGACCCTTGCAGAGTCTATTCGTGCAACCGCCGGGGTTGGCGCCGATGGACGAGTACTGTGCGCATACATGGCCAAGCACAAATGGCGTGAATACATGAAGAAAGGCGTGAGGAGAACCTGGAAAGCCGCTAACAGCCAAGTTGAAGGCAACGGCACATCGTTGGACGACATGGGTGCGGTGGGAGTGAGGGCGAAACTAAGGTACCGGGAATTCGGCCAAGAAGCAGGCCTGCGACAAGACTGTTGGCCCATTGGAGCGGCCAGGCCACATCTGGCCGGGGTACTATTTAGGAACGGCTAGCAACAGCGAGACTTGGAAGCGGCACAGAGTCGAATTTGGCTGGGTGGCATGTTGAAGAGACATAACGGCCGTGTCCTGGGCTGGCGATGGGGAGAGACAAAGAGGTGAATCGGTGGTGTGGCTCGAGGTGATTGGAGAAACTCGGGCGGTTACACGTTGGCCGAGAGCCAATCAGCACCCTTGCCGTTCCGGGACGACTGGGTCGCCCCTCCCGTTTCTGGGTCGCATGGGGACGGTGCCGCATTTGCTGCTACAGAAGAGCACCCGGCTGCACCTTCCCTGCCAGACGACGGCCAGCCCCAGGGGATACCTGTGTCGCCCGCAACGCCAGGCTGGCAGCCGAGGTACCTTTTGTGCCAGCCACCGTCTCTTTCGCATCTTGATTCTTCGACGTCTTCCAGACTGATGCCAACCGACCACCACTTTTTACCCTCAGCCTTCAAATTCACCTCTTGGACGTAGTGCTCACCATCAACCCCCTGTACCGCAACTATGGCCTTGCAACCCTCCACTAGCTGGTTTCTGCTTCGCGATAGGACGGCTTCTGCTGGCTTCTTGCATCATTTGGCATCGCGTGCAGCGGCCGCTCGTCTCTATTTTCTTGGCTCCTCAATCTGCCCAGCCGAGAGTTTGCTTCGCTTTAACCAGCCACAAAAATACTGCAATGGGCAAACGACCCGATCTGTACTACTTCAACAAGCAACCTATCGTGGGTGCGTGCGTCGGCTGCCGACGGTGCATGTGTGGCTGCTTGTCCCTGCTTGCGAGACACATTCTGGGTGCTATACGGAGTACATACGAGCCATTGGGATCATCACACATCACCACTGTGATGGCGGAGATAAATTGACCCTCTGGTAAGACTCATCTATCTGTCGACTATTTTCTCAAAGTCTCGTCTGTGACTTATACTTATAAATTCCCCTTACACAGGCGCGACGGTGGCGGGTCTCGTATGACTTGTGCGACGTCTGGGCTCGATGGTGAAGCACATGGTGTCTGAGGCGCCTCGTCAACCCACGACAGATCGACTCCACGAACAAATCCATCACGATGTGCCCCACCGTCAACTCCATAATACAGTTCAATCGTCAACAAACCACGAGGTATTATACATGAAGCACTTTTAGGCATTACCACGTTTAGCCAACCCGATAGCTGGGCCCTTGTCACCGCTCACGCCATGCGACCGTCATAGGTTTGCGAAAATCCTCATATCAATCAAGTCCCGACAATACGGTGAACCGCACACCACCCGCTGGACTGGCAACTCATCTACGGAGTAATCCTGTACGGAGTAGGCTTTATTGGATTGACTCTTTATTGGATTGACTCCCACCGCTGGTTCCCTATTGCTCCGTCACGTGCAGTTTCCGTTCTGATGACACCAACGTGTTGGTACCAAGGAAGCTCCATTTTGTTGTTTCGACTCATCTAAGACTGCCGCGAAGAGTGAAAATGAACTACGATGCGCCGGTCTCATTTTCTCTGTATCTTCTCCGCAACGTCTCCCTGCTCACCCAACGTTGATTCCTTTTCCAGGAGGTGCATCGGCTGACAGTGGAGTGAATGGCAAATATCCGGGAAATGCAAAGCGACGGCTGCACGTGTCGCCACCTAACCCTTCTGAGTATAGACCTCCGCGTCAAAAGGCGGCTTTCAACTGGGAAGAGACTATATAGTACATGGTTTATCTTTCTGTGCATTTAGCCAGCAATAGTCAATCAAGGCAAGAAGGACACGGGTGGTGACATGCCGTCTTCACTCGCGGGACAAGGCCATTGAAGCTATCTCGCAATCCCTGGAGCCAAGAATCGCAGAATGCAACCCTTCTCTTCTAGCGAGACTGACTTGGATGGCACGTCCATCGCCTGGACGACTTAATATTCTGCTTTCAACAAGCTTTTTTTGTTTTACAACATAACTACAATGTCCTTGCCTCCGCACACAACAGCGACCCGAACCAATGAACCCCGGTACCCTAGCCAAGTCCATGCGGATCTATGTATTGTGCGCCCTGATCACGCTCCGGCGGCTCTGAGGCATCGTTGATTGGAGACAGGTCGTCATTGTGGCGCTCATGAGCTAAAATACAGCCAATCACATCCAGCATCACTCTGCCTGGACAGGTGCAGTTGCATCTAGACTCGACCGACTTAGACGATGGTTGCTCATCGAGGAGGGGGCCATTATGCGGATTTGTTCACAACTCGCACTTTGATCTGGCCGCCACTCAAGTCCATCCGTCTCCTTTGGCTACCTAATCGTTTAGCGCGTTCTCGCAAGAGAGGAGACTCGAAATGGTACTGAAGCTCCAATTGTTTGGGCTTCAAACCAACTGGCATCCTGCTTCTTATGCTCGCATCAATGCTTCTCTCCTACAATATATCGGCCCTTGATATTTACAGCTGCGGATGCCAACTTTCTTTTCTCGTGCGCGATTACTCCCTGTTCCGCTTCCCTTAGGCTGGGATGGGGTAACACCTGACCTTGCGTCGCCAGGGATGGCTTGTCCGGCATGCATAAATAGTTTGTTTCTATTGTTGGAAGCCGCAAAAATATTCCATCGGTCGTGCGGAGCAGCCACCGGACAAATACCATGGATGGGGAAAAGATAATTACCCCAACGACGGATTATGGCAGAATCGTCTCATTACTGAGTGCTTGGCGCGAGCTCAGCAAGGTTAACGAAAAAAACCCTCGGCCAACTGGTTCTGAAAATATGTACGTCACTGTGTGTCGCTTAGCCTGATCAGCGCTCGCTTGGGCCATCATTGATGGCCAGTGGATCGAGAAGCAAGAGGAGGAAAAGCACATGACACTATGCAAACAGAGCGCTGAAGCTGAAGATGAGCGCTTCCAGGATGTCTCAGACTTTTTATGTCGTTGTTGGTCAACGTTGTCTATAAATGACTTTTACTGGGCTTTGATGGATTTCTTGTGAAACCAGCCCATTTGCGCTATGAGGCGCGCGGCTGCCGGCTAAGCTACGACCAACACTGCGTTGTTGGCCGTGTTGGTTCCATCCTCGAGGCTGCGCGGCTAAGTGCCGTAGAAATGGCTCCTGAAGGCATATTGATTCGATGACCCTAGCCTATCTGATGTCTACCTCAGCCTTGTAGGCCTTTTATTTGGCCAACGGGGGCACAAGGCATAATCAACGTGTCTCTTATGAGGCCGCTCCCTACGTGAACTTCGGGCCGTTGGTAAAGTGCTCAATCAAGCTGCGACCATCGGCGTCGCCCAAGAGCCTACAGATGGTCTCTTGTCCTTCCCGGGTCTGCACCATGTTGGCCAACTCCCTCAGATGTCTGACTGAACCTAACAGTACATCTACCTGTTGCACTGATAGAGGCGTCCCTGAAACACAGTGGCGCAAAAGATCCTTCTGGACCGCATGACGGTCAATTTGGGCGAGTCCGTTCATGCCAGTCGTGCTCGGCCTTCTCAATGCATCTAGATGGCCAATAAGCTGGCCAGCACTGGATACGGGTATAGTAGAGATTCTTTCATGCTCAAGCATTCTGCGCTGTTAGAATGACTACTGCAATCAGCCCAATGGCAGACACGTACTGTATTTGCAGTCTCATAAACGAAGACATGGCATCATGTCCTTGCATCAGAAGCACGACAGCTTTCTTATCGGTTCCGTCTTTGGGAAGCTGCTCGATCCTGCGCGTTGCGTCGTCAGTACCAACTTGTTTTGCCGATATGAGCACCATCCGATAAGTTGGCGAGGAGCTGGCCGAGTATTGAACTGTGAATTCGAGGTCATGCCTGAGGAGGTTTGTTTCTAGAGGGTTTTGTCAGTGTACTAGACTCGGCTGGTTGGAAAGATATTACCTCTCCATTTTGAGGGAGATTGAGAGAAAAGGGCGAGCGCCGGAGACCACTCAGATCGTTGACGAAGTGATGAACTGAACATGACCGAGAAGTTTCTTCACAACTATGTCCCAAGCACGTACTGCGCAGTAGTCAAATTTGTCAATGCCACTCAACGCGTTTGTATCCTAGACGAGGGCGGCGGTTTTCGGTCCTTGGAGAAGAGACTTTGGAGATTTATTTTCGGGATGGAAAGAGCTCTCTGGTTCTTGCCTTCCCTCGCCTGTCCAGCCCGCTGCCTTGGCCCCTCATCCCCATCTGCCTTGTGAGAGCAGAGGTGACATCCGCTGATTTCTATGTGGTCTATGATATACACTGATGGAGAAGATGCCTGGTGGTAGTACAAAAGTCCAAAATAAAAGTCCCACATGCCAATATGTACAATGGGATCAGCCGCTCAAAACTCCACCCATGTGTGCCAGCTCGCCAAGCTTCCAAGACAAATGAAGAATGCTCTCGTCGCTCTTTCAACGTCGAAACCGAGCATCATTTCAAGGCTGTAATGTCGGTAACAAAGGCTCCTTCGTCTTGGGGTCCTTGAGAGCCCTCAACGCCTCCTCCAAGGATTCAAACCTCTGTCTCTGCTTCTCCTCCGCATCCGCCAGCTCCTCCTCTCTCCTCCTCAGAGCCTCCACCCTCTCGCTCAAATCGTCGATTCGCTGCTTGTTCACGTCTGGTTTTTGCAACGCCTTCCACGACTCGTATATGATCAGGCCGCCTGCCACACCGAGGATGAACGCATCGCCAATAGCGTCTGCGAAAAGATCGACCGCTTTGCCCTCGGGGAGAGGCCGGAACTTCCTCTTCCACACGTTTTGGAACGTGAATCGTGGGTACTTTGCCGACTGTGATGAAGAGGAGGACGAGGAGGAGGACAAGGTGCCGGGGCTGGATTTCGACTTGGCCGCCTCGTCGCGCTTGTGTTGCTCCTCGGTTTTGACCGTGGGGGCTTCGGCTCGTTCCTTGGCGCGGCGCTCTGCCTCGGGGTCGCGGAGGAGGGCGACGGACATGCGCATGTTTAGCTGGTGCATGTGCTGGCCGTACTTGGCGGCGAATGCGCGAAATCGTGGATGGTCGTGGGCTTGTGCTTTGATTTGGTTCTGGGGGGCGGGGGTCAGTTCGCGACATCATGGCGCATTCGCGGAGAGGATTGCCGGCTTACCGCGCCATATTTGGAAATGTGCCGCACGAAGAGCGATGCGAGCTTGAATAGAGGTAGAGGCACCATGGTTGTCGCACTTGCGTCCCGTCGACGTCGAGGTTGGCGCCTGGGAGCGCGAGAAAATACCTCGGAACCACTCGAGCTGCGTAATGCTGGGAACAAAGAGATCAGAGAGCGGGCGATCGTTGTTGAATAGCGCGAGGGAATGTTCTGGCTGTGCTCGGCTGCGGGAATGGGCGACGTCGGGAAACAGAGTTGTCCCAAGACGTAAAGCCGTGATGACTGAGCCGCGATGTCAGGTTCCGGAGGCTCCCGTGGTAAGCGCCAGGCGTCGTCACTATCCGCGTCCATCATTCAGGGACCACGATCCCCTAATCCGGGACATCCAGGCATTGACCTGACTAAACCTCTCAGGGCTTCCATGGGTGTGAATTGGTCGGGGCACGGTTCAACCCACCTTTATCCGCTCACATCTCGCTGCACGAGTTCTCCGCTTTTGGTAGTGCAGTTGGCAAGTGAATTGCTTAGCGGGCTTCAATGTTACTCTTTATGCCAAGTGCGCTGAACCTTTTACTATTTATTGTACTTACCCCTGACTTTTTTTATAATATCTACTAATATATTTGTTAAGTATAGAAGCTTATAATTCGTCTACACACTACAGTCCGGACCAGTTGGGTTTCTTTAACATCTGGAGCCACCAGAAGCCACCCGCTCTATACGGCGTTTGATCTCGTTGAAATTCTTTATACCGCTTCTAAAAAGATGCTCCTAATATTACATGTATGTCAATTCTCTCCAGCGCCATATGAAGTGCCCTTTTATATCCTTCCTTCCCACAACTATCCCTCCCACGATGACTCGACGCACTCGCCTTCCTGCCCAGCCGCAGTCACACATCCTCAGCGGTGCATCTCGTCTTGGCCTGCCCTCACCATGTGCTTGATACACATGTGCCTGGAGGCTTTCAGTTAATGTTTCCTCACCCGACGGCATTTGACGTTTGTGCCCTAAGAGCGTTGACATTGCTTGAGGACTAGAAGCACATGGTCTGAACTGCTTTCTTGTGTGGTGTTGTGACTCGAAGGCGTAATAAGGCTACTGCCCGGTTATAGTAGCGGAGGTGGGATCTAAGCTGAGATGTTGAGGTCAGTATCTGCATCTCAACACTATAAGCGACACGAAACTTCAATTTACCAGTATGCTGTACTTGGATACACGGGCATGAAGCTTGAGTGTAGAGGGCAGGGTACTCGCGATGATATTCTTGTCTGGGAGTATGCCTTATTGATGCATGTAGAAATATGAAGTTGGAAGTATGCCCTGTTGCTATGCACGTAGAGATGTGTCATCAAGTTATTAAGTTATTGTGGGGAAAAAAAGAAGCCTAGATGATCATGCAAGACCACTAGTAGCACCGTGATTGAGCCGTACCAGGCAACAAGACCGTAACGTGCCGCGAGAGATGTCAAGTCAAGTTGAATTCTGAGCAGCTCACTACTCAAATGGCGCGCCGCAATTCACCAATTCACGCGCCAAAAGAAGCCAAAAGTGCCCGTAAATTCAAGGCCAACACCTTCCGTATAATGATCAATTACGAGCACCTTGGTTGATTGGTTGTGACTGCCGTAGCGGTTATGCATCTCTAACCGTCTTGGACTCTTGTAAGTGTTTTAGCGCCTTGCCGGCACCTAGTACACTATATCGACAACGTACCACTCATGTTTACCGTGCCTTGACCATCTCAGAATTTGGCGTAGTAGCAAGCTTCCCGCCCATGTTACTAATAATATAAAAACGCATTTAATATTTCGCTGGGGATAACATACAAATATCAGGAGCATCTTTTCATCAGCGGTATGAAGAATTTCACAGAACATTGAAGCTCAACTGGTCCGGGATGTGGGGCCACTCACCGCCAGATTGGGACTGGTGTGGTTGTTGACAGCCACTAGAAGCGGTTCAAGGTCGCCGGCTACGGCTCTGTAATTGGCCAGAGTATAGATGAACTGGAGTGACTTTGGTTCCCCGGCAACCACCAGACACGGTCAAAGTACACAAACCCGCCCCCAGCAATAGGAAAGAGACTCGTCGTAGTCGTCCGGTTGCCATGTCCCAGTCTTATTGTCCGCTTAGCCACACAACCAGCACTCAATTGTCGCTTCTCCTTGCACCCGCATCGACAATCTAGCATTGCTTACTGTCTTTTGGCATCTCGAGGAGCCCTCGCCAATATCTCATCGTCGGCTCGCTGCAGCTTTGCTTCACCGCGAATGCTACATGTGCTTGAACTGAATGTGAGCACGACATTGATCCCTTTCTTTGACATCTTGCTCCACGTGTGCATCCGCTGCTCTGCCAGAAAGCTGGACCAAAGATGACCAGCTCCCCATTCAAGGTTATTGAATCATGAATAACAGTATTTCTCACTCTTCGATCTGAATCCAGGCTCCCGTTGGCGATTCTTCCACTGCTACCGCCAGCCTTGACGACCGCACCATCCCTTTAATACGCCATCCACCACGCAGCGATAGTTTGATCCATCACACGGCAATCGACTCTCTACTTAGCAGCCATGGCCCATAGGTTGGCTGCGGCCAAAGGCGGTGTCGACCTCGAGGCTTTGTCTCCTAGAGATGCCAATGCCCAGCGATTGCCCAAAACCACGGAAAACAAAGTCAAGACTGCCGCACAGCTTCGGGCCGCCAAGGACAAGGAGCATCCTCCGCCTCCGCCTCCCGAAGTCTTCGAGCCATGTAGTTCCGACCGCCCGGAGGGGGCTACATACCAAGTTGGCAAATTACTGGGAAAGGGGGGTTTCGCCCTGGCCTACAGCGGCCTGCACGTGGCAACCAAGCAAAAATACGCCTTGAAGATTGTCAAGAGCAAAATGCCTCCCAAGATGGAGCAAAAGGCAAGTAGTCATTTGATCCCACATGTCAGACTTTGCTGGGAATAGCTGGCCTAACAGGCTCCGTCTTCAGTTCCAAACCGAGCTTCAAATACACTCCAAAATGAAGCACAAGAACATTGTGCAATTCTTCCGAGCTTTTTCCTTCAACAACTGCACATATCTCGTCCTGGAGCAATGCAACAATGGCTCGCTCATGGACATGGTCAAACGCCGGAAAGGACTCACCGAACCCGAGGTCCGTTTCTACTCGGTTCAGATTACCGGAGCAATCAAGTACATGCATGCCAAGGGCATTATCCACCGCGACTTGAAGATGGGCAACATCTTTCTCGACTCTCACATGAATGCCAAGATTGGCGACTTCGGCTTAGCTGCCTTGGTGGTTACTGGTAGGGACATGCAGACCATTCGCCGAACCACACTTTGCGGAACCCCCAACTACATTGCCCCTGAAATTTTGGAAAAGGGCAAGAAGGGGCATGATCACATGGTCGATATCTGGAGCTTGGGAATCATCATGTACGATTCTTGCTCGACGGGATTCCCCTTGTTCGTAGTCCACTTCACTAACTTGATCCAGGTTCGCCATGCTCACATCAAAACCTCCTTTCCAATCATCAACTACAGATGAGATTTATCGCCGAGCCAGAGAAAGAGATTACGAGTGGCCCACCGGCGATTCGACTCAAAAGTTCATTAGCCAAGAGGCCAAGGATCTGGTTGCCACCATGTTGGAGGACGCAGACCGCCGCCCCGAGCCAGATGACATTATCCTACACCCTTTCTTCACCTCGGGCTACATGCCCACCGACATTGACATGAGCTATCGACTCCGAGAACTGCCGCCTGAGCGAGACGAGTTTTATGTCTCCCGAATGAGCAGCGCCTTGCAGACTACTTCGTATCGAAATCTAAAAGAAATGTGCCTCGAGAGTGGAATTGGCCCTTGGTCCGATGCAAAAGTCATCCACTCGCAAGTTTGGAAGGAAATGGCTCAAGAGGAAAAGGTTGGCCTGACGCCCACCATTCCTCTCGCCGAGAACGTGGTTTACCGACCATTTGACGACTGGCTCAGAGAGCACATGCCTCAGAGGAGCAAACTTTCACATTCCGTTGGGCCTCACACCGCACAACCAGTGACTATTTCCGAAGAGCCTCCAACCGCTGCACAAAAGGCTCCTCTAGGGTTGCTAAGGCAGCCTCCCCAGAGCTTTGCTGCTCAGCAGCGTGCTCAAAACAGGCCTGCGGCAACCTCTTCAACAACCAAATCGAACCCTCCTGTAGATCCTGCCCTGACGGCAAGCCAAAGTGTACGAGGACCATCACGGCGGGAAGCCATTCGGGAAACGGCCTCAAAGGTGTCCTCAGAGGGCACCCTTAGGAACGTGCGAAGCTCTGCCCGGACAGCTCTACCATCGGCGCGGTCAGCCCCAAACCTTCAAGTAGCTGAGCGTGCAGCCACGATGACATCTGCACCTGTGCAACCACTGAAAAGATCAAATTCACAATCCATTCGAGCGACCACCCTTTTTGCCCCATCCGAGAAAACTGAGACTATCGCAGGCTCACGGCCTGACATTATTCTCGAACGATTGAAGAGGCTGCAAACGGAATTAGAGCGGTCATTGAATTCCCGTACAATGGCAATCATTTCTTCCAAATCTGTCACACCTCCCCACCCCCATGTGGTTGTCAAATGGGTTGACTACACCAACAAATTTGGTCTTGGCTATATTTTGAACGATGGTAGTGTCGGATGTGTACTAAGGGATATACCCACAACCGAGGGCAGCAAGACGGCCATGCTACCTCCTGCCGGTATTTTCATCCGAGGTGCTGAGAAGCACATTCTCCGTCGGGAAGACACATCATACTTCGACAGAAACCAACCAGTTCCCATGACCGAAGCAATCAAGTTCTTTGAGAACAATGGCGAAGGCGGCTTGTCTGAAGTTAATGTTTCACCCGAGCAGTTCAGGGTGTCTATCAGCGAGGACGGCACAGCTGGCAAGATGAACCCCGGCAAAGATATTTATCAGCACCGCAAGCGCGAGAGAATTATTCTCTGGAAGAAGTTTGCCAACTACATGATTGCCTATGGCAGAGATGAAAACCTTCCGGTTGAAGAAAGCGAGGGGCAGGGGGTTATGTCGCCAGGGGCAAAGGGCACAATGGCAGAGCTGGTAACATTTTACCAGAGGTTTGGAGACGTTGGTTGTTGGGTGTTCTGTGACGGACATCTTCAGTTCAATTTCCCCGACCACACCAAGATCGTGCTTGATGCTACCGGAACCTGGTGCCACTTCTGGCATCTCCCACAAGACGCCGCTGAAAGGTTAGCCTCGACGGGCACAATCGGCGCAGCCGCTCTAGATGATCGCGCAACGCTCTCATACCCTCTGCAGACCCTGCTCAACTTCCAAAGCAAGTCGTCTACCCGCTCAGCCAGCACTCGCAAACGACCCGAGATTGACCCCGAGGTCCAAGGTATTCCCGCCGCCAACGACTTTCGGCGCAAGGTTGAGTTCATCAAGAATGTCGTCAAGGAATGGGTTGCCAACGGTGGTCTTGGAAACAGCTCCATGAGCCGAGAGTCCCGTTTGAGATGGACCGGTTACAGAGAGCTCGTCAACACAACGATCCCGCAGAAACACGTCTGGGTCACGATTGGCGCTCGCTGGGGCGACCAGCGCTTGTCAACGCTCGTTGACCCCCGAAAGCCCTGGGAATTGGGCGAAGAGGAAGCCGACGGCTCCAAGAAGTAATTCAGCTTATGACTCGAGTTGAAAAAGAGAGAAAAGCAGCCAGCCGACGGCCTCTTTGTGTTTCATATGGCCAACAGTATAAACAGTGGGAGTTGCAAGTGTGAAGCTTGCTGGTAATATCTTTGGGTGACGCCTCTATTTCTGCCCTTTTTTCATTTCTGATTTTTCTTTTTTGGCTGTAGCGAGCTTGGCCGGCGTTGACGGATCACTTTTGTCATGGCGTACGCGGGACATGAGACGATCAATGATGACCCTGTGCTTTGTGCGTGTTGTTTTCTTTTCTTTTTCTCTTTCACACCGTACTTGAAACTGTGTGGGCTAGAAGCTCGGAGATGGGATGGTGAAAACCGGTGTTGAGTTGAGATACCTGATTCGTACCCTCCTTTAATGATTATTACGTTTACATGAGATATTCCATGGTGTTGTTATCCCAGTGTGATGTGGCGTCATGTACCACCATATGGAGCATTAATGTCCGTCATAAGGGTCATCTGGACTATGCCGTTCATTGCTCTCACGTCTGCGTCTGCTGCCCGTGGTGCGAGTTGGTAGTTGACAAGAGAGGAAAAGTTGCATGGCCAATCACAAACGACAGACACGAGTCGATGGCGAGGGCACACCTTCCACTTGACAATTGACAATCACCCCAGAGAACCATGTAGGCAAAGTAGTCCAAGGCCAATATTATTACGCCGGCCGACCTATATACATGCAAAGGGTAATGCACCACACGCCAGCCACGCCCTGTCCCATACTTACGCAGCCTACTCACTATTTATTATGTCTAATCGCCAGCCCCCCCATCCAAGCGGCAAAGCCGCAACCACAAAATCAACAAAGGCCGGAGAGCCCCTGGGCCCCATGCCACCATCGCTTCGGGCACGCCAAGGTGAATAAAAGAAAAGGAAACAAGCAATTAATATTCTTGTTCGTACAAGCACCCCGTTCGTGTCATATTTGGAAAAAGACGAAAAAAAAAAAAACACCACATAGTAATGAAAGGGACCCCAATGAACGTTTAGTGCTCCATCATTGAACGAGAAATAAGACGCTCCTTTCATGACACGAGTTATTGCTGTTGCTGTTTTATACATCCGAGTAGTAGCCATCGGTTTGGGCGTGGCTGGGAGGAGCGACCCAGCCGCCAGGGGCGCCGACCACGTTCTCCCGAGAGCCAAAGTAGGCGGACCTGGCGCGCTTCTCGCGCTCAAACTCGGCCCATCGCTTCATGGTGATCTTGCTACTGTCGAATTCGCCCTGGTATTCGATGCCGCCCTTCTTGACCTTGTCTCCTGCCGTCTTACGCGTGTCACCCCATGAGAAGTCGTCAAACTTCCAGAAGGCATATGTCGGGAGAACAAAGTTCCAGATGGGCAGGGAAACCAGGTAGATCAGCATCCAGACGACATAGGACCACGAGTGGGCCGTGACCAGGATGAGGAGACCGGGAAGGCCTAGAATAAGAGCAAGCAACACCAACGGAATGATTTGCGGAGGTGAATGGATAATAGAGGTGATGACTGCAACAAAAGTTAGCCCATGTACTCCTTCTAGTGCATTCGTATGCAATGATGACGCAGTCGATGATTGTACTTACCAACATAAAAGGTAAATGCAATGGCGGCTGGCAGCACCAGCGTGCCGACAAGTTCAACGAAAACGACAAACTGCATGCTGAAGCAGAATGTACCGCACAAGTCTCGAACCAGAATAAGCTCCATAAGGTTGTGAACAGTCGAGTTGATCCAGCGACGTCGTTGGGAGAGCAGAACCATAAACTTGTCGGGTACAGTCGTTTTGCAAACAGCCTGGGGTACAAACACCTGCTTTCGCTTGGGGAACGTGCGCAGCATGAGAGTCGTCAAGTAACGATCCTCACCAAGCAGGTATAGGTTCTTCTCGTGCAACGTTTCAACCACGTTCTCCGAGTAGTGCTCCACAACGTCAGGATTGGCGAGAATAGGCACCCAGTAGTTCTGGCCGCCCTTGGGGGCCTTGATACGGTACATGCAGAAACAACCAGGCAAACAGGTGACACCACCAAAAACGGACTCAAACGACTTGGCCAAGTGGTGGGAGATGAAGTACTCAAACACCTGGATAGCAGTAACCCAGCTGTCTCGCTTGTTTGCAATCTTGGTCTCACCACACAGACCCATGATCTCGGGATCCTTAACCATGGCAGATACCATGTGCGTTAAACTGTCAGGGAACACCTTGGTATCGGCATCGACCATGAGTACTATTTCATAGTAGTCGGGTGAGATACCAGTGACCTTCCAGAGACCGTTGAACATTTCGTATTCGAGTTCTGTCATTCGCTCGTCAAACATGACCTTTTGGAGGAAGGACATGAGGATGATTTGACTGTCTCGCTTGCCACGGTTACCGGGCTTGGCCTTGTCGGCCTCGTCTGGGGTACCGCACTTGACAATCAGCATCATGGGCACACGCTGCTGCTTGTCCACGGGGATACGGCTCTTGTTGCCGTAGTCGTAGAAACCGCAATAGACCTTGGCCATGTTGTGGCGCTTCGAGCCGCTGGCAACGGCCACGTAGGAAAATGACTCAACCATGTCTGGAGGAGTCGCATGGTCCTTCATCATGCCCAAACAGACATCGGGAGTAGAGACAGCTTCACCCTTGCCCTTGATGATACCGTCGCAAATAACAACGATAGCCTTGTGGCTGTTGGGATAGTCAGTCATGGCAATGGAATCGAGTGTGGTCCGAATACCCTCTTCGCCTTCCGAATAAGCCGTAACCAGGCACATTGTGTGAGCCAGGGGAAATCCAAATGGCATCCAGTCAGATGGTGGCTGGGGGACAACTGAGTCGTGAATGAATCCAGCGGGACCGGGGCCATCAGAGGGGCTGGCGGCACTCGAGTAAGGATCGGGACGCAAGAAGCTGGCTCGGCTATCGTTGCCTTGTCTGTAGATGGAATTGGGATTGAGCAGAGAACTTGCGGGACCTTGGCTAGACATGGTGGTGGGGAGACGTCTGGCTCCGGTTGGACGATCAGATCCGTAGACGGCAGAGAATCGAGACGTCGTGGGCAGGAAGGACGAGCCTCGCTTGCTCGCTCTATCAGAAGAGCCCATGGCAGAGCTACCAACATCGCCGGGCAATCGAGCGGGGGCGCGATAAATGTCCTCGGACCAATCCTCAATCTGTTTGGCACGCTTTCTGCGATCTGAGGTTTGCGACGTTTTTGCGGCTGCGTATTTGCGGCTGATGAACCACTGGAAAATCAGGGCCAAGACAAAACGTGTTCCGACGACGGACAGAATCAAAATAAGAGCGCAGTACAGCACAACCTTTGAAGCAATGCAACCGACAGTCTCGGTATCAACGAATCCAACTCGGCTGATTTCCTCGAGGCACTGAGCAACCTGCTTATCGCCAGGGGACTGGAACATTCGGGTGACATCGCGACCACGGATGGCCTTGTTGACTGCGCTGTCTTGGTCTCGCAAAACCTTGAATCGATCAGGGACACTAATCTCGCTCTCGTTGAACCAGTTGAGTAGGTTGAGGTCCAGAACGCTGCCGGAGTAGACAACCAGATTACGAGAGCTATTGCGAATATCGTCCCAGGTGAAGTAGACATCAGCGGCTTCCTTCAGGCCAACGTAAAAGGCATTTCGAGCGTTGGAACTCGTGTGGCAAGCATAACCCAAATAGTACGGGTTGGTGAAGTTGGGACGACTAGATCCGTCCTGATTGAACGTAGTGCAGGGGAAGTACCACGCCAGCTCGTTGTTCGAGTTGTCGGGAACGTCAGAGCCCGGGGCTTTGTTGATGAGACCTTTGCAATGGCCGTTGACATTTTGGAAGAGAAAACTTCCATCCTGTCCTGAATGTTTCTCGGGCAAGTCGAACAAAACGTTGGCGCCCGTGCCATCTTGCCGCAGAGGAATACCTTCGGCCGGAGGATGGTGCGAGGTGGACAAATCGTAGGCGACACCGTGAAAGATCATGTAGCCACCCGTCACCTTGTTGACCCTCAATCGCTCGGGAGGTGCACTACACACAGTAGCAGTGAAACCAAACGTGAGGAAACCAACAATGGCCATGATGACGAGAATGATGCTGATTAGGCCCATCTTCTCGCGCCAAGCTCGGCGCTGAGCCTTTGTGGGCTTGCCGCAGCATTTCAATATGAAATCGGGACACCAGAATGTCACAATGGCGCAGTAAACGTTCCAGGCACTCGGAGGTCTAATCTGTTCGGCCATGGCAGGGTTCTTGCGCGACTTTCTATGCCTAGTTGTTTTCGTGATCTTGCCAGACTTGTTGCGGTGCGGGCGCGACTTGACACGAGCATTGCCCTTTTCTTGGTCACCGCCGCTCGTCTTTCGGCTGCGGTGATGGCGTGGCGGAGAACTATCGGCAAAGCTTCCGTGGGTTTGTGAGCCCCCCGATGGTTCGGTTGATGCCTCGACGTTTTCCAAGATGGGGTCGTTGCCGGTGGACGAGGGCATGGTCTCCATGTTGGCCGCATGCTTGTGATAGTGGTAATTTCTGTGGTCCTTGCCAATCCTGTTGCGCTCTGGTCGAATCAGACTCCTTTTGCGGGTAAAGGGTTGGTCTGGGCTGTGCGGCGGAGGCGAGGCTGTGGGATGCGTCGGTGACAGAGGGAGAGTCTCTGTATTGGCATTAGGGTTCGAAATGGTCTCGGCGTAAGAAGATACGGATTTCCCACGTTCATGTCCTGCCCTTGGCACAGGTTGAAAGCCAGTCTCTATGTCATTGGGGCGAGGGCGTCGCGAAGGCGAATTTCGATAGACGTTGCGGTGTTCGTAGACCGGGCTGCCGCCCGGTCGCTCAGGGAGAGACATGCTTCTAAGGAAGAAATGTCAGGGCAAAATTACAGAAAAAATGTGAACCACAGGTGCCTACTTACCAAGCTAAATGGGTTCGCCGAGGTCAGGACCTCTTCGAAAGAGCGTATACCCAGCAGACGGCAGCTTCAAGGACACAGAATGAACGAATTGTACCTAGGCAAATGCCAAACGGCTGTGTTCCCACGGCAAGGAGAGGCGACCAAAAAAAGATGCCGAACTCCGGTTCCGAGCGCCTGTCGTCAAAGGCGGTTTCACAAACGTGCAAACTCGTCCCGTCAAGCCCCAAGTCGCAAAAAAAAAAAAAAAGTAGCGATTCAAGCCAGGGGAGGGCCCCGTGATTCAATCCAAGACGGGGGGGGATAATGATAAGAGCAAAGGAAAGAATAGATGGTCGAGAGCAGAGAAAACGAAGGCGAGAAGAGCGTCCGAGGCAGCAGGACGATCCGAAGCAGACGGTCACGGCCGTTTGTTGTTTGTCCTCGTTGGCGTCCGTGGTCCCCCGAATAAGTTAGAATAACAAGAAACGAGCGATCGCCGGGGGATGGACGTGGTGGTGGAGAGGCGGTGCGTTGCCGTGGCCAAAGGAGAAGTTTATTTAACAGGAACAGGGAACAGGGAGTCAGTCAGTTGCGAGCAGCGAGGGAACGAGGGACGAGGGAAGCAGAGACAGGAGGAGGGGGACGGCCGAGCGATATTGCGGGCCCCTGACTGGCTGGCGCGGGTGCTGGCTGGGTGCGGGTGTTGGCGACGGGTCACTGGACACGCAAAAAGTAACTAAAGAAGAGAAAAAAGCGTCAACGGTCTGGCAAGCTTCTGACGCTCCGTGTTGAACGTAATTTTTCACGCCGCAAAGAGATGATGCTGGACAAGTGCAAGATGCGCCGTCTGGAGATGGGTGCCCGAGGTGGCTGCGGCCGACCTGGCGATACGACGGCAACGCCTCCAACGCTTCTCTCCTGTCCTCTCAGCAGCTGACTTGGGTCGATGTGCCGTCAATGGGCGCATCTGCTCCCGATTTCTGCCCTGCACACGCCAACGCAGCTACGCCGCCAGTCCCTCCAGACAGTCCCTCCAGACACCGGCCCAAGGGCACAAACACGATGCCCCCGTGTTTCCACTCGAACCACTATCACGGCAGCAATGCAGAACATTGAACGCACCAGCAACGCACCAGTCGATTACTGACCTCGCAGCCGGGGACTTTTGGGCTCCGTGTCCAAGACTCCAAGACTCCAAGCGTCCCCCTGGCGAAAAGGGACCATCCGGCCCAAAGTACACCGCAGGTTGCCAGGTGGTGCTACTCGACTGGATGCGCCGGCAGCCCCGAACAAAAAGTACTTGAGGTATACCCCCTCGACGCTAATGCTCCCCCTGGGCTCGACCCCCCGCCGCCCCTGTTGTCCAGTCGACGCCGGAGGGCCAGCACGCCACCCCACCCACCACACAACATTGAACACCACACCGCACCGCACCGCACTTGCGAGGCGTTCTCGTTACCCGGCACCGGCTCGTGAACCTTCGAGGCGCCAGTGGCGTCTCAAAATACGGGCACGTCGAGAGCCGTGCCTGGCGTCTGCCTTTTTGCCCGTTCGTGGTCATCGGCCCCCAGCCCGGCATGGCCCGGGTCGTGCCCTCCATCCGCCATCGCCAGTTGCTCCCGCATACCATGGTGATGACTTCAATGTTCGCGTAGCGGTCAGCACATGCGTCCGCCTGTCGCCGTGCATCCCGCCTTCCGGCTCTCCCATGGCCCGAACAGGCGGCGGATGAGTGATGAACGTCGACCGGTGCTGATCTGAAATTCAGCCTGATTTGTGGTCATCATGTCGAGCTCAGTGCGCATTTTGCTGTCAGTTTGATTCTGATGCGTAGCCTGCATAATAATAATAACCCCTGTTGATATATAGCCAAACCCAAGAGATTCGTATTCTGTTTGTCAAGCCTGACATATGCTTACGCATGATGGAAGGGACTTGACTGTTGCGCTTTTCCAAAACCACCAAACAAAAGCTTCGCAACGCACGATGCGACTTCGTAAATCCCCAAGCACCGGCCAGTTGGTACCATGCATGGCATCTCCAGATGCCGCATCTGCGCACACAGACGGCCAATGCACGCGTCATGAGGTGAATTGCTCGGCGGGCTCACTCTTTTTGCTAGGTGCGCTTACCCCCCTTAGTAGGTAAGTGTTTATTGTGTCTAAACTCTCCCTACATATTCCTAAGAGATAATTTATGGTAAAATATATTTACCGATAATAAAATATATAATAATATATTATAATATAGCCTAATATCTAGGTACCTGGAGGTGCGTGAGCGCACCTAGCAAAAAGAGTGAGCCCGCCGAGCAATTCATGTCATGAGGCGTCGACTTCCATACTTGCTGCTTGTAGCCTGGGAGCGTGAAGAGATAGGTCGGGCATGCAATTGATTCTCCCTGCTCATCCCCTAAAAAATCAATATATTTTCCAGACAGTATACTCCGTACACCCTTTCACTTGTCTCACGGTCTGGAATGATGGAATCTAGACGCCGTGAAACCTGCAGCAGAGTGTCGCACCACGAGCCATTTGCCATTCTGGCACTTGACCCTTTAGCTTCGCGTGTACCTAGTAAACGTCAAGACTTATCCTTCACTTGGCTCCTCGACGTCATTTTGTCATCTCCCAGCGTCTAATTTTTTCCCCCCTTCGCACAGCGCTCAATTTGCCGTCATACTTTGATGCGGCGGCGAACCCGGCCTCGTGGGTTTGGGTTGCGTCTGGCGCTCTGTTGTGTTACAGTCCAAGAGTTGATCAACGAGCATCCAGAATACTGTCGACATGTGAAGTTGTCGTTGAGCAATTGACCCCCACACGGGAACAGACCTATTGCAGGGTTCTACCAGCTATTGCATGCCATCGTCACTGCTGTGGGTGGTTGACCCCGGCCAGCAAATCACTGTGGATATAATACGAGAGGGAAGACGTCGCCAAATAGATGGCGCCGCCGGGAATCAGTTGATTGTGAAATAAAGCGGCAGTCGTCGATGGTGCCGTGTCGCTCCGTGACCGAAGACCATGATCAGTCGACAACAGCCAACATTGAACGTCCTTGCGGCGACCGAGCAACGCCTACCGTGAACCCTCGGCCTCATCAGCTGCGTTCACCTTGATGCGAACATTGAATGGAGCACCCCATCTACGGAGTAAGCGACCGTCGTTCCGTCCTCGACACGGTTGGGGAACACAGCTATATTGTCCGCATCACTGCCAATCCCTACTTACACCGCTGATGCCGGTGCCACAATGGTATGACTCGACGCATTAATTAAGACTGAGCCGAAACCCGACGTTGGTGTGACCCTTGCCCTGGAGTGGGTGGAACGGCCAGAAGCAGAGGAAAAGAATTGACTTGACATGTCAATGCGATGCGCGCGATTGAAGGGATGACGACATTCCATCAGCACGGCCCGCTTTAGGGGTCGCGGCTAAGAACACTGTGCACGCTCTTGACAGCTCTAGCTAGTGAGCCAGGCCAGCAAAACTATGTCTGAGTGCGAGAATCGAGCCGCTTGTTGTAAAGGCGCAAGGAAGAATAATGCATGTACGGAGTAGACGCGGTAAATGGCAGGCAAATCGCATCCCCTGACCGGCTTGGGCCGAGTCTGGCTCACCATGTCGGCAGTATTTTTTTTCATCTTTAAAGATCATACCCTAGACTTACAACGACCGGACAGCCCGATCGAGGGATTTCGGTCTCATTGCACGACCCAAGCCCAACACGTGCAGACCGGGACTGTCCAGGAGCTCTTTTATGCACACCTTGAAGCTGGCTTCTGCCTCAGCCCTTGGTGTTAGTCAAAGGAGCCCGAAACAGCCGTGTTTGTACTAAAGAAATGAAGGTTTGGATGCCAAGCAACGCCACAATCATGTCCATCAACTCGGGCATAGACCTGAAACTCCACGACATTGATTAGTTTGGTCGTACTACAATAACACAACATGGCACCAAGCACCCCATGTCCGCTGGTATCTTCCAGAGACGACGATTTGCCCAGAGCCTTGCTTTGTTCCTGCACAACGGCACGTGTCTCATGTATGTGCTCGCCTGTGCTTGCAGATGGGTGATGCTACATGACAGGAGTCTAGTGCGCAGTCTGTGCCTTTGCAATCCAAAACCACACACCGGCGAAAATCTCCGCGTGTATTTTTGTAGTAGTCTGGCGGGACTGACCGCCGACATGAATGAGGTCTGGGACATCCCTTTGAATGTGCGCAGGTCTAATTTTTACAACGGACTAGGGTTCTAGCTAACAATAAGGAATTAAGATTTTAAAAATATACAAGTATATAAAAATATACTAGTTTATTATCCTTAATAAAAGAGTATTCTTAAGTACCTTTAAGTATTATACAAGAAGTAGGTTGAATACATCAGTTGGACCTGCGCACATTCAAGGGGATGTGACCAACATTACGGAGAGAAAGCAACCACATGGTGCGGTGGATGTGGAATAGGAAAATCGGTCCACATGGTTTGGTTATTTCGGTAGTAGTCTCGTTTAAGTGCTGATGTCCAATCTGTGATTTAATAATACATGATACATACCTAGATATGTGTACATAACATAGTGGAGAGAGCGCTTAGCAAACAATGTTGGATGGTCATGTTCTGCGGCAAAACTAGTCGCTGACGGGTAGCTGATTCTCCAACCGACGACGAGAAAACTCGTTGCTAGTGGGAATATTCCTGGGCAGACACGCATGGTTCGCCAGCGGCCGCGGCAAGTACGGAGTAGTCAAGCGCAAATTACCACTTCTTTTCAGCCTCATCCAGCTGTCTCGCCCCCCCTGCCAATCTGAGCATGTCGTGTAGGGACCAGGTAGTTTTGTGTCCCTGTTTAAATCCAAATCCAGATTTCAGCCGCGACGCCTCACCGGGCAAACTTACAGATGACAGGCACATACGTCGCCTGGGCTGATCGGTGACGAGGCAGAGGACACAGCTGCT